GCAGTAGCATAATTGAAAAGAAAATAAGAGAAATGTATCTGGGAAACTTCTAATTAATTCTAAAATAATGAAATATGAAGCCTATCTATAGGCAATTCTAACAAGGGAATTTGATGCATGCCCCAATAATTTTAGGATTTTCTTATGCGACTAGAATGATGTGATATATATATATATATATATATATATGTTTATGTATATATCACAAATCATTTAATACATGTAAAGTCACTTTCTTTAAATTTAAAATAATAAATACTTGATTAGAACCCAAATGATAATGTAATAGTTGAATAAATTTAAAGAAATTAGCGAGATATTCGAACAAAGCAAAATCAGCATGCAATTATAATTTAGTTATTGAATTTAGAATCTTTATAGTGTCAAGTTTCGGTAAAATCAGGAACATTATTAAGTCAATAACAAAATATGTAGAATATATTTGATTTGAAACTAATCATCTAAGTTAAATGATTCAACCCTCACACCAAAGCAAGAAGATTACTTCCCCCGAAATTAGGTAATCGTACCTCTAAACGACTTGAAGGAATTATATGTTTAACTAGCACAGAAAAGATTGAAAGTGAAAGAAGAAATTTTACTATTCAAAGATTTTCAATGGCATGCCTTGTAACATTTATTTATGATTAATTCTTCAACTCCTAAGTTACTACACATGGTTGTATTCAATACACGTTCGTAATTAATCACAAAATGATACATTTTTATACCAACGGAATTTAACATTATGTATTTCTTATTAAAATAGAATCGGAAAGCACAATAACCAATTCAAAGAAACCCATGTAGTGTGCAAGTGTAAACCTTTATAGAGAAATAGCAATAACGCTGCAAAAATGCTACAAATGGTGGCAAAATAGGGAAGCTTTCTACTAAGAAATATTGCATGTTCAGAGAGAAAAACGAAAAAGATAAAGCTAAAGCTGGAAATTAAACCTTCTCCCCCAACTTGCTAGTATGAAATTGTGTTTGTCCAAATGGATTTATTTTTTTTTATTAGCCTTTTTATGATTATTGTTGATATTAAGTTTTAGCAAGTCACCTCAATCTTCAATTTTTTAAAACTGTCCTTAATTAAAGTTTCAAATTTGATTTTAAGCTGATTAAGGAATCAAGTTTAATATAAAATGAAACATTGTAGTAAAATAAAATTCAGCAATTTAGGTCCAACTCCATTTCTTACTACTCATTAATCAAGCAAACTCACCTAGTGCACAAACACCATCTCAACGACATGCATCATGCATTGTGATCTCAATGGTCATGTTTGTCATCATAATTTCTATTTGAGAAATATCAATTGTAACTTAATAACTCATGGTTTTAGTGGAACAAAATCATGGTATGAATGCGTTGTAAGGAGCGATTAAAGTACTCACAATGAGGATGCTAAATTATTCTAAAATTTTAACCATTTGTCCATAAAGGCACACTGAATGAAAAAGAGATGTACCTGGATTTGATCCAATCCTGAACAGCTTGAGACACTAAATTTAGTTTAAGAAAATATCATGTATTCAAATCTTCAACCCACCGACCCATTCCCAACTCAACACACACAGGCATTAAAAAAAGGAAACCCATATCTTGATAATAAATATTCCATTAGATGACCGTAGAATGACAACACCCTCAGTCAATGACAGCAACAATTATTAAATATTTAATTTTGATTATGTTGAAATTCATAAAAAAATAAAAGGTTTCTTGATTTTGATGTATGCTTTTATAAAATTAGCCAAGTAGGGAAAAAACAACATTTAGGCATGGTTTATGATTTAATCTTATTTTTCCCAAATTTGGATGAGTTGATCTTATTATTTCTAGCCCTGTGGCTGTAATCGATGTACAATTATAAATTATTGTTGTTGTTCGGCTTGAGCTTGTGTTGAGCTTTCATATATTGTTCAAGTTTGACTTGTTTAATTTTTTTAAATGTTTAAAATTGATTTGTTTATGACAAGTGAACGTGCATTTAAACAGGCTAAAAATTCGAACGACTATCTTAATTTTCATATAAAATCATAATAAATAATTTTACAAATCTAAATAAATAAACAATTGAATAAAACATATAAGCAAATCAACTGACTCACATACTGTCATCTAATGTCTATAATAAATATATTCTCATATGAATGAATTCTAAGATAAAGAAACAAATATTGATACAAGGAAAAAAAAATTTAAATGATTTAGCATTACAAAGTAACTCATAATGTGAAATCATTCATTAATTGTAAAAATAGTTAAGAAAAATCGAAAAGATTGAACATAAAAAGAGAATGAACAAAAGTGATGTTCATTTTCAGAATTCCATGATTCCCTCATGTTTATTTTCAAATACTTAATAATTAATAATAAAATAGATATATAATTAATAATTTATCTAAAAATATTATAGATATTATAATATATTACTATTAATTCTATAATTAAATAAATATGGCTAATTAATTTTTTTTTAAATAATATGTCATATATGATATTAGCTATATTCGAGTTTAATATTGAGTATTTAACAAGTTATTTGTTGAACAACGTTATTTGTTGAACACGAGTTTGTTCGTGAACATAAATGAATAAATTTGATTATGTTAACGTTTAGTTCATTTAAGATTCAAAATTTCAAAAATTGTTCAAGCTTGTTTATTTACTAATTCAAATGAACATGATCAAGTTTTAATCGAGCCTAGTTTGAGTTGTTCATTGAAAGCATTGGTTCATTTACAACCCTAGCTAGCCCTAACCAAATAACATGCACATAGAGAAATAAGTCATGAGAGGCTGGACTCTTCTCATACATAATTAGTCTCAGCAACTAGAGTCGATGTTGTATTGATGCAGGTCAACTGACAAACTGAAAGGTATGGAGATGGTGATGAGGGAGTTAATGAGAGATAAGCTTCGTCATTCTTACTTCAGGTTAAGTCAGTTTGAGGAGCTTGATTAAAATAAAATATATTTTACAAGCCATGTTTTTTAATAGAAAACTGATGATTTATGTCAAACTGTGAGTGAAATATTGCTCCTGCCTGAATAAAATGGTTTGTCCTTTTGTTTTTGGACTTTTGTTTTGGAAGGCATCGGCTTACACTTTGACCATTTTGGAGCTGCTGGCCTTTAATAGTTGGCAGTTGAATTAGTTGATCTGCTCAACTCAGATTACTCAAACTTTTTATTTTATTTTATTTTAATCCTCTTTGTTTCTTAGGGCCGTATAAAAATCTGAATGAACCGTGGAAAGTTACCAAGCATCTCAAATAAATAGTTCCAGATAGTAGTGCCTTAGAAGGCTATATATTTTGTCGTTATGAACTATTAAGTTCCAAATTACGCTTTTTTCCTTGTAATTGATGAAGTTTCTTAGCTGATTTCAGGAAAATTATAGAAAACTTGTAGAGATCCCATCAAGAAAATCAAAACTCACCAACATTGGGGTGGTGGAAGCCATGCCAAAGATTTAAATTATCAATACTCATGTTCCTACACATCTGACAATTTATTTACAAAATAAAAAGAAAAGATGGCCCAAGTTTGAAGCTTTCTGCAAACTGATTGTTATATTAAAGCTGTTTATGATCTTTTTTTTTTTTTCTGAAAGAATATATGAGCCGGTTTGTATTATCATAGAACTAATACAATATAATTGGAAAGGGTTAAAGTTAGAATTTCTTGGTTGGTTCTGGCAAAGTTGTTGCATTTATTTTTAGGCAATTTGTAGTTAATTTTGCTTAAGAAAACACCCGAAGCCAAAGGGAGCACATTAACTTAGGTGCTGTTTGAGATCATTTGATATCATATTTTTTATTTTTTTTTAATTTTACTTTGTTTATGTTTTGATTTAAAGTAAAATATATGTGATGGTGATAGTTATTTTGAAAAACACTCTAAATATCTAAAATTAGTTTTGAATATTTTGTAAAAACAAGTTGATTTGTTATTAAAAATAAAAAAATAAAAAACTGCAACAAGTATATTAAACAAATACATTCTTAAGAAGAAGATCATAAACAAAAGACAAAATTAATCCCAAAAAAACCCAAGGTTTTTAGTTTATGGAGCACTAGTTTGTCATCAAATAGACAGCTTCTTGGCAGATTTAAACTAGCTAATCAGATCCAAAAATGGTTGTGCTGATGCATACTCATTTATTGATTAAGTGGTCTTATAATTGTGGACGTTAATGTCCCTCAAAATTGCAATAAAACCATAGATCATTTAAGTTTTGATAGGATATTCAAGGGTTTTCCTGTGGTTATGATTCCTGTTGAATGACTACTAGTTGTATACAATTTGCTTTTGGTTAATTTCTTTGGTTTCATTTCAATTTGGAGCAGTGGCAGCTGCAGATCACCATCTACCTACATGATGGTCCCAAGTAGGCCGAATTAAATTTCATTTCGGTCGGTTCGGTTTTATCAAAATTTTGATTGACTTGGTATTCTGTTTTCGAATTTTTGTTGCAATCTGTTTGGCCAATTTCAAAAATTGATCCATCCAAACTGACAGAATACTTATCCCTACATTTGATGATGAATGATGGCTAAACAATGAGACCAATATTCTCTCACATTAAGGCATTAAGGGCTTATTTGGGATAACTTTTATTTTATTTGTTTTGTTTTAATTTTTATCTTAAAAATATGTTTGTTTAGTATATTTTTTGTATATATTTATTTTTTGTTCTTGAAAACAAACTAGCCTGGTTTTAAAAACGCTCAAGACGGCATATAAAAATTGTTTTGAGTGTTTTTTAAAAACAACTAAAGATGTTATACTGTACAAAATATATTTTGTTTTGAATCAAAACATAAACATTAAAAAAAAATAAAAATAAAAATCAAAGACGATCCCAAACAGCCCAAAAGTGAAAAAAAAAATACTCATGAGAAATAATTGGCACGCTCCATTGTGTAATTGAGGTTTGCCCTTTGTTTGTTATATTGAATTATAACATACACCATTCTATATTACAGGTTCAAGGTGATACTCTGGATAAAAAATTGGCTCATGTTGAAGATGGTGCATATTTTTCTGTTCTCTTCTATGCATCATGGTGTCCATTTTCACAGAACATTAAACCCTCTTTTGATGCACTTAGTTCCATGTTTCCACAAATATGGCATTTAAAAGTGGAAGAATCTTCTGCCATGCCAAGGTACAAGACTGACTGGTGAATTTCTGTTTCTCTTCTCTATTAAATGAGATATTCTGCAAGTTTTATCCCTTCCAAATAACATATTTCTATGTTGGTCCCCTGCTAAATCATTCGCTGCAGTGTTTTTTCAAGATATGGGATCCATAGCTTTCCATCCATTTTGTTAGCCAATAGAACTTCAAGGATAAGATATCATGGCTCGAAAGATCTCAATTCATTAGCTCACTTCTACAGACAAACTACGGGTTTGTTAGTTCCTCCATAATTAAAAAAATATTTAGAAGATTCACATACGTACCACTCAATTCCTATGTATTTACATTTATTTAGAAGATTCACATACGTAGCACTCAATTCCTATGTGTTTACATTTCTAACCCCAAAACTTCAATTTTTACATACATTCCACCTTACCTATGCATTTTTTAAAAGTTAAAAAGGTTTTTTCAGAAGTTAAAATGGTTGTCTTTTTTATTTGATATAAAAAATTTGGTTGGTATAAATCTAAAAGGCAAAGTTTAGGTATTAGATATGTAAATACATAGGAATTGTGTGGTATGCATGTAAATGCTATCTATCTATCTATCTATCTATCTATCTATCTATCTATTTTTTATGACGTAATTCTTAAATTCTGGAAATCCTGCTACTTGTAATACTATTTTGATTTTGGTTTATGGCTGCAGGCCAAGATCCAGTTGCATATTTCTCTGTGGATCAACCAAAGGAGAATATAAATGTTGTCCAGCCAAGCCACAGACCAGCTGGTGAACTCCTAAAAAATGAACCCTATCTGGCATTTTCTCTACTCTTCATCCTCTTGAGGGCATTTACTTATTTCTTCCCCAAGTTCATCTCAAAAATCAAATCTTTCCGGATTCTCCATACCTTCCGCCATGCCAACCTTCGCGCCTTAAGCGAATTGACCCAGCCCCTCGTGCGATTTCTTCACGTAATCGACATGAAGAGGGCGTGGAACAAACTTCACCTATCAAACACGACGAGAAATCTTCACAAAGGGGCGAAAAATGCTCGCGTGTGGGCTTCTTCCTTGGCTTCCATGTCGCTCGGGGAATCATCTTCTTTAAGGTCAGCCCACTTGAATTAACGATCTCTTCTTTTGTTTCTCGAGGGGCGTTGTGTTATGACGACGAAAAGCAGAATATCTCGGGGTCCTATGTGGAGGATTGTTGTAATGGTGTTTTGGTTAACATCCCATATTTGGTTTTAGGTGAATGTTTTGGTTTGGAACTGAGGTGTTGAACGCATGAGAAGAGGGGTCTTAGCATGTAAATTTTCAGGACCTTATCCTTAGTGTATATTAATACACTTGCATGCGCTCTAAAGTGCGGTGCATTGTTATTTCTTTGGTGAACATCATTAGCCTTTTGATTAGAATATGTTTTAGAATCATTTGATTATTTTTGAAATTAGAGTAGGCTTATATATAAATTTTAGGGGCATTTACATATATGACACCCAATTCATATGCTGTTACATGTCTTGACACCTAAACTTTATTTTCTTACATTTATACCTCCCAAATCTTTCCCTCATTTGAACTTTTAAAATGTGAAACGTACATTTTTCATTCATAGGTAAGAGGTGGTATGATATGAGTGCAAAAAAATTGAGGTTTAGGTGTTAGATATGTAAATACATAGGAATTTAGTTGTGTGTGTGTGTGTGTGAATTTTCATAAATTTAATTTAAACTCTGTGCTAACTAACGGTATGTTTGGGGAGCTTATTGAATAATCTGCTGATAAGTCGATTAAAAATAATCTGTTGATAAGCTATTTGCGGTGGCTATTACAAATTTTTATTTTTTTTGAAAAAGCCAGATCGTTGCCAGAAAGCCGGTGTTAAAATGCTATTTTCAGCGTTTTCAAAACGCATAAGCTGCCAAAACGCAATTTACCCAAACAGGTCAGGTGTGTTTTGAAAACGCCACCTGTTTTCAAAATGTAAAACGCCACCGCACCAAATAAGCTGCCCCAAACGGACTCTAAGTTCTGAGCAACATATCTTTAGCTGATTATATTTTTGGGGGCGTTTACATGCATGCCACTCAATTATTGTATATTTACATATTTAATAGGTAAACTTTAATATTAACATATATACTACTCATATATTTGGCATCTTATAAAAAAATATTACTATTACTAACTTTTTGAAAGTGAGACCCACTTTTTATGCATCATTTGTTAACTCTTTACGGTTGTGTTGAGTTGGTAACTTTTTTTCTTTTTTTCTGATTTTTTTTTGTATAATAATTTACATAAATATCATCTAGTTCCTTTGTATTTACATAACTAACACTAGGCTCTTTATGTTTATACCACCTAAATCATTCATATCTCATTGAAAATATAAATTTCTTATGCATGCATAACAAACACCCCCCGCCCCCCTATATAGATATATATATATATACGAGTCTATAGCCATTCTTAATGTGTTTAACAATTCGAGTATCACTTCTTTAATGCCAATTGTGCCTGAGGGGATTCAAATCACTGATCTGAGAGGTCTTATACCGTGGATGCCAATCAACAGGATGGGGTACGCGGCACACACATGTTTAATATCTGAATTGTCATATTTACATGTAACGTTTAAACTTTTTATATCACATAGAAAATATTACTCAATTTTTTAAATGTTAAATATAACCTTTCATGTGTAGGTTTATGATAATAAATGTAAATATTGAATTTTAAGCCTTAGATATATAAATACATGAGAAATGTGTGGTTTCCTAACTTTATTTGTGTGTGGTAGTTGGAAGAAGGATATTGGATGATTTTTTTAAATTATTATTATTATTTTTTTTCATCAATGACTTATAATAATTATCTTATAAAATGCTTCAGCTGTCTCAAATGAACCTTTTAAGGTTTTTCTTTTTGTATTATTTTATTATTCTTAAAATTTTTCTTATATGAAAAGTAAAAAATAATTATGTATATATTGTAAATTTTCATTCTTATTAATTAATGCATTTAATTTGATTAATTATAATTATAGTATTATATTTCAATTTTATGATGTCATTAAATATCCGATGCTATCAATTTTCATCTTAATAATTTTTTTATCAAATAATTATAGCTATTATAATATTTTATGAAAAAAAATTCTAGTGATTTTACTAAATAATTGAAAGTTTAGATACATATCACCCAAAATGTGTATTTATTTTTTATATCTAACACCAGAATTTAGGTATTTACACAACATTCAAATTCTTAATATCATGTTAAAAATATTACTAATATGTCATTGACAAGTTTTCATTAAGCAAGGATCTTGGTACATTTTATATAAAGATCTTCCAAATTCGAATTCAAAACCATATGTAACCCAATTTTAGCAACTTTATATTCAAACTAATCTCCTCGACAAGACAAATCCAACGATAATAAAAGTGGGTAAATTCGAGTCTAATCAGGCCTAGATCAAGCCATTTGAACATTTGAAGGCTTTGAACCATTAATGAAATGATCAAATAAACTCTAAATTTGACATATTTATAGTCAAATAGAGTCTCTCGATGAGAGAAATCCAATAAGCCCAAGATCGCAAATTTCTGAAGTCACTAATGCACTTAAATCATTAAACAATAATATATGATCAATGGGGTGAACTAGGACGGTCCGATCAAATTGTTAGGAATGTTATGCATCAAAAGACCAAAATGCCTCTCCTAAAATGGCTATAAATAGATCTCATTTCTTCACTTGAGGGGGAGGAAAAGAAGAAGACGAATTCCAAAGCCTTTTCTAGAGAGAAGACTCGGCGATAATCGCTATCCTCCATATCTGCAGACCACAGTTAACCACTACCACCCGACCATTGTCGACCACCGTCGGCCATCACCTCCTGCCGCAACCGACCACCGAATGTAGGCAACCCTTGTTTGTAATTGTTGTATTCGAAATATGGATGTTGCATTTAATTACACTAGTATTGAATACCTGATGATAACCATTAGTCGTTGTAGTCGTCGATCACCATCGACCACCTCTAGTTGGTCATCATCGATCGCCACCCATTGGCCACTGTCAACCATCGCCAACCATCACCATCTGGCGTTGTTGATCACCGTGTGCCGCCGATCCTTATTTGCAATCGTTGTATTCCAAATACGACTGTAGAATCTAAAGCATGTATTAAACACTCGATGATAACCATCGAACTCTGTTGTCATTTACAATAGTTAACCACCACCCATCATTCACTATCGACCATTGTTTGTCATTATCACTTATTGCCAACCACCGGTCATTTGTGATCCCTGTTTGTCACCACTGTAGTCTAACCATTGCCATTGTTGCCAACTACTGCATTTGTGGTGAACTATTATTGATTCAATTTTCAAAAATGACCTATGTGGCCAACTGCCGCTATTGCAGCCACCGCCTACACTCTTTATAGCCAACTACTGCCTTTGTAGAAACTAATTACAACATTTGTGGCCAACTATTTATGGTTACGCTTCTAACTACAACTTTTGTGGATAACAGTCGCTATTGCAGCCATCGACTACAATGTTTGTTGCCAACTATTATTTTTGAAAGAATCAACTAAGGTCTTTGGGATCCACTACTATTATTACAACTTTCAACTACAACATCTGTGACGAATGACTACGGTTACAACCATCACTTAAGCGTTTGTAGCTAACTATCGCTATTATAGCCAAGAATTATATTTGTTGTGGCCCAATTATAAATATTATAACTACATTACTATTATACATTTATGATTATCAATATTGTAAGTTCATTTCCTCTAATTCAGAAGAAGGTAGAATAAGCCTTTTATACAATCAAAATATAGAATAAGCCTTATATTTGCTATGCTTTTATACAATCAAAAAATAGATTACTTTGACTAGAATAAGCCTCATGGTTTTTTCACTTCCAAGGTTTTCTCACTAAAAATTTGTCTCACCCTCAACTATTTTTCTTTTATCGGCGTGTCTTAGAACTTCATGCAATATGAAGACATTAAATTTAAACCAGCATCTATTTTGAGGGGGGACAAACTGCCCCTAGACCCTTGTGGGAGGGGCTAGGACAATGAAGTGCAAAACTGATATTTCAGAATGGGTAAAAGCCCAAATTAAATTATTAATTAATGATTAGAATGTGTTGGAACCCGTGTCTCCTAACTAGAAAGAAATCACTCATTAATCTGTATTTCACATTTTCTTCATAATTCTCTTTCATTATAGTAATTATTGAGTTGAAATCTTATTTCATTTCTAAGCATTTGCAGAGTTCGGAGCTATCATGTCTACCAAAGCAATTACTGACAAAATCATATATATCAAAAGTAGCAATCTTAATAAAGTATGCAAACGAACAATACTTTACATATTTGCCCTGACATTAAGGGTTCCATTAATACAAATTCCAATAACTCAAAATTATTAGGAACTTTTCTCTCATAATTCCTAACTCATTCATACTTTATTCAAAATAATCCTCTCATGATCATATAACATAAAGAGAACAACTTTTTCAAGCTTCTTCTTCTTCATGAAGCTGAAGCTCTTTTTCTTCAATAATCTTCTTCCTCCTGCTATTTAAATGACTCTTTATACTGATTTTTCTCATCTGAACATAAAGATTTATGAGATGCAAAAAAGTTTCAGAGAAATGGTTTTTGAATGGGAATACCTTCATCCAAAAGGCTCTTTAACTAACAAGCAGGAGCCAGTTGCTGATACGGAGCTTGAAGATGAACCTCAGGAAGAAGAGATTTACAACAAAGAAGCCATTTTTGCTGAGGAGAATCTGGCCATGGAGGAAGAGATTGCCTCTCAGGTGATGGAAGAAGAAACTGATTGGGGGCTGCAGAGCTTACTGTTCGTAGAAGAGGAAGAAGATGATAGAAAGATGTTGGAGTCCTTCGCAGATCCAAAAGTCAAAGAAAAATGTGATTTTGTAGCTTTCAGATTGAATAAATGGCTGAGATCGGGTGTAATCGCAGCTGCTACAGTATCTATTTTCATTTTGGGTGGAGGAAAAGCGCAGCTAATGGGCAAGAGAAATAACATTCAGTCTGAAGTTATTAAAAAAGAGGTGACTTTTCAGAACTTTGCTTTTACAGTCTGAAAATAGGCCCTACCAATTGCCACCTGAATAAATTCAAGTTTATATTAGTGCAAAATTGTTTTAGTGGTGGACTAATGTGTTATTTCTTCAAATTTGAAATAAGAAAATATATAAAAACTTATTTTTTATTAATAATATATTATATATTGCAGTTTCATCCACCCATACCAATTACCACCTGAATAAATTCAAGTTTATATTGATGCAAAATTGTATTAGGTTTAGACTAATGTGTTATTTCTTCGAATTTGAAATAAGAAAATCTATAAAATTGTATTAGGTTTAGACTAATGTGTTATTTTTTTAATAATATATTATATATTGCAGTTTCATCCACCCAAAATGAATTATTTCATTTGAAGCATATTATTATTTTTTAATATTGCATAAAATTTCAGATATAAATTTCGTTTTCAGTGACATTGATTAACAGAGCATATGAGCTAATAAACTTAAATGTGAATCTATGATTGTTCATCTGACTTGATATTTGTTGCTAAACTTGAAGGAAGTGAAGGATTGCGTTGTTCAGCATCAACCAACTGCTTTGCCATTTTCCTCCTTCGTTGGACACTATAGTGAAAGGTTTTGATGTGAATGAGCCCAAAGTTAAGAAGAATTATAAACTCCTTTTTACTTTCGAACGGCGATGATGATGATGAAGATGAAGAAGAAGAAGAAAAGACATGTCTTCGCTAAAAGAAAATATCATATGCGCGGCTGTTCATCTAGACTTTCATTTGGACGTGCAGTCGCAGCAAGTAATATTTGTTTCTTTATTATGTTCAATAGTGTTGTGTTGGAAAGTACCTAAATAATGAAAGTTAGTTGTGAGTGTATGTTTTTATTTTCAATTGCTGTGAAAATGAAAAGCTTTTATGATCAAAACTCTACTAGAAAAATTTGAAGGGGCATTTACATAAACATACCACCCAAATCGCAATACTTGTGTATGTACATATCTAACACGTCAATTTTATATTTTATATTTATACCATCCAAATCATTTAAGTCACATCAAAAGTAGCACTATTTTAACTTTTAATAAATGTGATACATCTTTTCATGCATTGGTAAATGACATATGTAAAAATTAAAACTCACGTGTTAGATATATAAGTACATAGTAATTAGGTGATATGTATGTAAATCTTTCTAAATCTAAATACTCATAATATGAGTAATTTAAAAACAAATACCATCATAGATTAACTAAGGCAGATTTGCAGGAGATCTCTTAAAAGGGATAATTGAATACATAAGACCTAAAAAAATGCTATTTACAAATCTGGCACCCATGTGATACTTTCGAACTACCGAAACGATGTATTTATGTGTGGCACACTCAAAATATTGCGAATTTGATAAAAATGAAAATATGGGTTGGAATTTTATCATGAATTTGGATATTTGAGTGAGAATTTGAAAAATAGATGAAAGAATCTGTTGTATTTGTAAATAGCAATGTTTCCAGAGCTATGCATGTAAACAACCAAAATATTAAAAAAATATTTTGTAATAGAATTTGAGAAGCTTAAAAACAAGTGAGAGGAATTTTGATGAATTCAAATGTATATATCGTATTATGGTCGAGTAAAGTCGAGTATATTATAGACTGGACTTGGTTTGGTCGAATCATAAAATATGCATATTCAGTTCGAGCTTGAGCTGATCTTTAACATACGTATTCATACTTGATTAAACTTTTTACAATCATATTTGTTCTATACTTGGCTTGCTTGTTTTAATTGAATAATCTAAAAATTTGAGTGAGCACTTGAGTTTTCATATAAAATTTGAAATTAAAATTGTGCTTGATTGTCATAAATCTAGTTAACAAGCTAAATATTAGAATGAATATTTGATTTTTCCAGCCTTAGATATAATTGAATTTTGTGTCTTAAGATGAAATTAAAAGAGAAATTGATTAAAGAAAATCCTTCTAATATTTTGAACCCTCGTTGTTTGCCAAAGAAGCCAAGAGGCTATCGGTTCCTATGGTTCCAATGTTCCCACTGAATATGACCGTTGCTCCAACGGTCGCCTCTCCGCCAATAAAACTAACCCTCCCGCCAAAAAGGGAAACCCTAAAAACTCCACTTAAAATCCTGCTTCGGAATCCTTCTCTTCACGACGAAGTTCTTCACGCTCACCTCATCAAGTCCGGCCTCCTCTCCTGCACCTCCATCTGCAACACTCTTATTCACAGGTACTCTGATTCCAGGCGCATCTTACTCGCCCAACAAGTGTTCGATGAGATGCCCCAACAAAATCTTGTTTCTTGGACCACTCTTATTTCCGGAAATGCTAGGCTAGGAAAGTCGGGTGTAACTCTTGAAACGTTTGTATGCATGCTTGATGATGGATTTATTCCAAATGAATTTGCCTTTGGAAGTGCCCTTCGGTCTTGCTCGGACTCCGGGTATTTTCAGTTTGGAGCTCAACTACATGGTTTGATCATGAAGATGGGCTTACTTCTAAATATTTTTGTAGCTAGTGGTCTCATTTTGATGTACTCAAAACATAATGAGTTTGATACTGCCATGGAGATTCTCGAAAGAATGAAGGAGAAAGACGTGTTTTCTTGGACAACGATGATTGTTGGGTTCTCTAAAGGAAATAAGCATTTCGAGGCTATGAATGTCTTTGCTCAGATGCTTGAAGAGGGCTTAATGGCTGGAGAGTTCGCTCTTACTAGCATTTTGAAGGCATGTGCATCCTCGTTGTGCATTAGAGAGGGCTCTCAAGTACATGGCTATGCTATAAAAACCAGATTTGAGAATGATGCTTCGGTTCGAGCTTCAATCATAGACTTCTATGTGAAAATTGGTGATATATTGAGCGCACGACTAGTTTTTGATCGATCTCCATGTTATGATTTGGTTATGTGCACCGTGATAATCGGCGCCTATGCTCAGCACGGCAACACAGAGCTAGCAATCATGATGTTTCATCAGATGATCAGAGAATTCGGCATCTTACCCAATGAATATACTCTTGCGAGTTTGTTAGCTTCCACGGCTAAAACCGGTGATGTCATTTTGGGGGCTAATTTACATTCTTTAGCTTTAAAATCAGGATATGCTGCATTCATTCATGTCCAGGGTGCACTTATAGATATGTATGCTAAGAATGGAATGATGGAAGATGCCTCTGCAGTCTTCAATGACATGGAAACAAAGGATAGTATTTCCTGCTCTTCGCTGCTTGCTGGCTACTCTTGCAATGGCTTTGTTCGAGAGGCTCTCGAATTCTTTTTGAATCTCCACAAGTCTTCCGTAAAGCCGGATCCGTTCACAATAGCTAGTGCCATGACTTTATGTGCTAAGCTCGGCGATCAACTCCAAGGGAAGCAAATACATGCTCAAATCATCAAACAAGGACATGAATTTGACACGTGCATTGCGAGCACACTAATTGATATGTATGCGAAAAGTGGTTCGATTGAGGATGCATCTAAGGTTTTCGAGAACTTATCGACGAAGGATCGAATAGCTTGGACGGCTCTTATTGACGGTTACGCACAACATGGGATGGGGATAAATGCATTGGAATCTTTCAGTAAGATGATAGAAGACGGCATCTATCCAAACGTCGTGACCTTTGTGAGTCTACTGAATGCTTGCAGTCATTCGGGTTTGATTAAGGATGGTATCTCTTTATTCGAACTTATGAAATCAATATACGGGATTGAACCTGTGATCCATCACTACACATGTATGGTTGACTTGTTGGGTCGTGCCGGCCGTCTCGAAGAAGCCCTCGAGTTTATAAAGGCAATGCCAATAGAACCCACTCATCTTATATGGAGATCATTTCTAGGTGCATGTAGAAACCACAATAATATTGAACTAGGGATAGAGGCCTCAAAGCACCTCCTTGAATTGGATCCAGATGATGATGCAATTTATGTGCTACTTTCGAACATGTATTCTTTGAATGGTCGATGGAACGATGCTGCTGAAATAAGGAATGTAATGAAATTGAGGAGTGTGACAAAGTCACCAGGATTAAGTTGGGTTGAGTTGCACAATAATCTCCATGTATTTGGAGCTGGAGATGATTGCCACCCTGAGAAGGAGCTCATATATAATGTGCTCAGTGATTTAATGCTTAATATGAAGGAAGCCGGCTATGTACCAGAGACAGCTTTGATTGCATGATACAAGTGTGATAGAGAAGAATAAATTGCTACTTTTAGTACTGTTAAACTTGAATTCTGGTTATCCATAAGGAATTGACAGAACAGTAGCTGAAACAGGATTCTTACACTGCATGAAGTTGAGATCTATGATACAACAGTGCGGGTTGTTATTTACTGGGATCAGGTATTTGTTCTTCTAAAATTTTTTTATTTGTAAAAAGTGTTAATTATTGAAAAGCCTGGCTTAGTGTAAATTTTTCTTGTGATTTATTTGCTGATCTGATAAAAGCTGTCATCTTGGAAGTTTTAATGACTCAGAATGTGTTTCATGTCACCTTCAAGAGAGATTTTGTTAGTAGTTGATGCAGAAAAAGCTACTTCGATACAATTTGGATGCGTAATAAAATCATGGAGGTTATGAAAAAGATTAGTCAAAACTCATGACTAACTTTTATCTCGTACACTGCTTGACAACATAAAAAATTCATGTCAAACTCTAATTGATCAAATGGAGCACATGATCATCAACACAAATCTCGAGGCTGTGATGTTGATCCACATATATGAATCATATCAATCTAACAACCTTTTATCTCGTACACTGCTTGACAACATAAAAATTCATGTCAAACTCTAATTGATCAAATGGAACACATGATCATCAACACAAATCTCGAGGCTGTGAAGTTGATCCACATATATGAATCATATCAATCTAACAACATAATATCGAGGCCTACGAGTTCATCGATTCTTATATTATTGTTAGGAGCATAATGGTTAATCTGTTATCTCAAAGATGAGGTGATGTGATTCCCAATCCTCCGATCGATGAGAGGTAAAAAATAACGTCAATTAATAAATATTTTGTTTCATCGTGATTTTACATGTGACTTATGGGGCAATATGAATGAATTTGAAGTTTACATTGTTGTTCTTTCTTACTGAATTTAGAATTCTGCTGAATTTGAATGCTACCATTCATGTAAAATGCTATTGGCAAGTTGTTGCCCTCCGCCCCTGCCACCTACTGCAGCCGCTTGTCACGGACAAATAGTCCCACATCGGCTAGGTGTAGGGCCGAAAAACAGTATTTAAGTCCTGGGCTGCCCACCACCCTTAAGGGCTCTTTTGGGAGGTGACACGCTGCTACCTTCGCTGCTCCCGCTGCCCGTTGCCGGCCTTATTTGCCCCCGCAGTCGGTAGCCCACCGCCATCGCCTGTCGTTCGCCGCACCGCCCACCAGCCCATTATCGACAGCTGTTTGTCCTACATATATTTTGCAGTAAACCAAACAACTCGAAAGTATTTCAAATACACTATAATCTTATTACTCTGCAAATCTTTTACATTTCACTTCATTTTCTGCAAACCAAACATGTCTTATATCTTTCCTTACATCTTGTTGTACTTTTACTAAGGAATGATTCAACCAAACGGACCCATTATTTTTTTATTATATGTGCACAAAAAATAAACTTCTATTGCAGATGCTAGGCCTCTAAAAGCTTGGCTAGGCCTTAAAATGATATTTGTTTTTATTATATGCCGCCCACCAACCCATTGTCGACAGCTGTTTGTCCTACATGTATTTTGCAGTAAACCAAACAACTTGAAAGTATTTCAAATACACTGTAATCATATTACTCTGCAAATCTTTTACATTTCAGTTCATTTTCTGCAAACCAAACATCTTTTATATCTTTCGTTACACCTTGTTGTACTTTACTAAGGAATGATTCAACCAAACGGACCGTTATTTTTTTATTATATGTGCACAAAAAATAAACTTCAATTGCAGATGCTAGGCCTTAAAATGATATTTGTTTTTATTATATGATATGTTTCAAAGTTATCAACATGTATTCTGAATTTACAATACACAATCCCATATTGATAACTTTATAATACTTTATTTACATTCCTAAGCTATTAATATGTAATAAACTTGACATCCTTATTAGATTAAGAATCAAATCTAACCTTTTAAAATATTTAAAATTTTATTCTTGATCTCACTCCCTACCATTTCAGTAATCAATTGTTTTCTAAATTTACAATCCCAACCATCATAGCCTTCATTCAGAGAATGGTTGTTGATATTTTAGCCTTTTAAGGCAACCTTTTTACTTAAAAATGCACTCACAATATCATGCTTCTTTTCCGGTCATTTACATGATTTACATATCCAACACTTAAATTTAATCTTTACATTGCCAACAGTTGAATTCTGGTGAGAAAGAGAGGAAAAAATAGTAATCAGTCGTATTTTATTCATAAAATGATTCTCCTATTCATAGAAGAGATGATACGTAATGATGATATTACATTTTTTCCCATCCTTTCAAGAAATCTAGGGTATTTTTGGCATTTTACATGTATAAGTTTATTGTGCAAATGTTTTTTTGGCTTAACTTAATGAGCTTGGGGTCGACAGGTCAGCTCAGTCGATTGAGCTGGGTTGGTATGGATCAATCGACTGATATGATATGACTCTCAACCCTTATTGCTTGACAAGGAACCTTAGGGGCGTCCCTTAGTTGTTCAGAGATACTAGTTGTTCAGAGATACTGTAGTATCAAAACTTCCCTTGGATCAGATCAACAAGAGGGTCAATTATTGCATCCTGTTAGTTTTCCTATAACGATCAGCTCAGATGTTCTTTCACCTCACATATAGCCGAATGATTCAAACTTGGGTCTTCCGATTGCCTGTCTCGTCGCTCGATCAATTTTTACTTTGTTACAACTATCATTAGTTTTTGAAAAAAATATATTTCAAGATGCATACATAAAGTGATATTAATACAAATATCAAAGTCTATATAAAAATAATCTTCTTTTTATTATTATTACTTTCTTACTATGCGGTAAGAAAATAATTACTTTTGAATCATTGATGCCGTTGCAAGTCATTAATTATATAAAGGAGGCATGTGAACCCCTGCAGGACTCAGTGAAAGGCTTATCTGATTCCTCATCGGTAACTCCCATTTTCTTGTCCCTTGTGCCCTTCTGTCCGACGACCGCCACTTGCATTATTGCGCGCTTTTTTGTCTTTTTGAAAGCCCTTTACATAATTTTTTGGATTTTTTTTTTTTTTTTTACAAATATCAACTAAATTTGAAGCTGAAAATTGCACTTTTTGTTTGGAAATATTTTTTATTGCTTAATTTAGTGAAATAATGAAATGTTAACTAGTTTATGTTGCGAAAAATGATGGCAATAAAGTGAAAAATGAAACGAAAACAATTACATGTAGAGAAACACCAAAGTAATACAGAGATTTACGTGGTTCGACAAATTTGCCTACGTCTACGGAGCTGCAGAGGATTTTATTCCTTCAAGGAATTAAATCGTCAAACGCCTCGATGTTTATAAGAAAATCTTCATTTTCTTCTCTCCCTTCCTCTCTCTCTCTTCATCTTTTCTCTCTTAGAAGACTTTTCTTTCTTGGTTTGGCCTTGCTTGGCTTATGACAAGTCATAAAAGACTATTTATATAAACTATGAGAGCGATAGGTGGGTGTGATTGGTGAGCGGTATGTGAGATTTTTAATTAGAAAGCTATTTAAATTGTGGTGGACCGGGTCTTCACATTACCAATAATTTCTTCATTATTTATATAAATCATTTCAATAAAATCTTTATTATGGCCCATTTTAACCAATATTAAAAGATTAATTATTTTATCAGCCTTCATTTAAGATTGTAATCATACCACCATTACAAATTCTTATTTCATTACAAAAAAAAATTAGTAGGTTGTTGCAGAGGCATTCATTACATAATTAATTCTTGATCAAATGGCTAAAACGGCTTAATTATGCGGCAATAATTATCCTTCGATGGAGCGTGACCTCTTAATTAAATTATTAATGAAATTAATAGAATATGCAATGGTCTAATTATTGATCGGTAGAATCACAAGGTGTGGCCCCACCCGTTATATTAATAAAATGCCTGCGCGCCAACTTTTCTGTTTCCCGACCGTTGATTCACAAATTATTACAAAAATAAAACTTGGAATTGCACAATTCAACCCGACAAAATTTCATGGGTAAAAAAAAACAAAGGGACATTTACGTACATACCACCTGATTTCTATATATTTATAATTCGAACATCTAAATTTTGTTTTTCATATTTTATACGGCCCAAATTTTTCATATCACATCAAAAATATTATCATTTTAACGTTTATAAAGAGAAATACATCTTTTCTCTTTCAGGAAAGGTGGTATATATGTGTGATACCCCACCAACAAATTTTCATCGTCCTTCACGAATCTCGAGGCATGACACAAATCTTGAAAAAATATTTTGAGTAAGAAACTTTCAAACTTTAATTAAGAGTCATTCAAAGCTTTGATTTCAGTAAACTTATAGTCAAATTGAACGACTCAATGATACGGACGCAATGATGTAAAAATTAGTCCAATTCGAGTTAGATAAAGCCCGAGTCAAATCATTAAACCACTCTTAGAGGATTTCCGGAGCCATTTGGAAGGTCAAACGAATGTCAAATCTAGCGAGTTCATAGTTGAAACGAGTGTCTCGACAAGACGAATCCAAAGAGCCCAAGGTTGCTCAATTCTGACATCGTTAAGGCACTCAAATGTTCATCAAACATCATCTGATTGAGGGAAGCTCTCCGGACCATCCGATCAAAATGGTTCATATTCATGTATTAATTGCACCCATAATACTATAAATAGAGTCTCACTCCTCACATGAGGGAGGCTTGGGAGAGAACTTGAGGCTTTGAGAAGAAGTTCAAGTCCAAGATCATCTCTGTCATCGTCGATCGTCGTCAACCACTATCAACCTTCAGACCTCCGTCGACTACCGCCAACCGTCATCGACCACAGCTGACTGTCGTTGACAACCGTCGACCGCCATCGACCGCCACTCACCATCATCGACCACTGTTGACTTTCGTTAACCTCCGTCATCTATCGTCGATAAACACCAATCATCATCAATCACCATCAACCAGACGTCGCGTTTATAAAAAAATCTCTCTCTTCCTCTCTTTCTCTCTTAGATGATTTTTCTTTCTTGGCTTAGTCCTGCTTGGCTTATGACAAACCATAAGAGACTATTTATATAAATTAAGAGAGCGGTAGATGGGAGGTAGTGAGTGTGATAGGTGAACGGTAGGTGGGATTCTTAATTAGGAATCTAATTAAATTATGGTTGACCGGATCTCTACATTACCAACAGTTTCTTCATTATTTATGTAATAAATCATTTCAATAAAATCTTTATTATAGCCCATTTTAACCAATATTAAAAGATTAATTATTTTATCAGCCTTCATTTAAGATTGTAATCATACCACCATTACAAATTCTTATTTCATTACAAAAAAAAATTAGTAGGTTGTTGCAGAGGCATTCATTACATAATTAATTCTTGATCAAATGGCTAAAACGGCTTAATTATGCGGCAATAATTATCCTTCGATGGAGCGTGACCTCTTAATTAAATTATTAATGAAATTAATAGAATATGCAATGGTCTAATTATTGATCGGTAGAATCACAAGGTGTGGCCCCACCCGTTATATTAATAAAATGCCTGCGCGCCAACTTTTCTGTTTCCCGACCGTTGATTCACAAATTATTACAAAAATAAAACTTGGAATTGCACAATTCAACCCGACAAAATTTCATGGGTAAAAAAAAACAAAGGGACATTTACGTACATACCACCTGATTTCTATATATTTATAATTCGAACATCTAAATTTTGTTTTTTATATTTTATACCGCCCAAATCTTTCATATCACATCAAAAATATTATCATTTTAGCGTTTATAAGGAGAAATACATCTTTTCTCTTTCAGGAAAGGTGGTATATATGTGTGATACCCCACCAACAAATTTTCATCGTCCTTCACGAATCTCGAGGCATGACACAAATCTTGAAAAAATATTTTGAGTAAGAAACTTTCAAACTTTAATTAAGAGTCATTCAAAGCTTTGATTTCAGTAAACTTATAGTCAAATTGAACGACTCAATGATACGGACGCAATGATGTAAAAATTAGTCCAATTCGAGTTAGATAAAGCCCGAGTCAAATCATTAAACCACTCTTAGAGGATTTCCGGAGCCATTTGGAAGGTCAAACGAATGTCAAATCTAGCGAGTTCATAGTTGAAACGAGTGTCTCGACAAGACGAATCCAAAGAGCCCAAGGTTGCTCAATTCTGACATCGTTAAGGCACTCAAATGTTCATCAAACATCATCTGATTGAGGGAAGCTCTCCGGACCATCCGATCAAAATGGTTCATATTCATGTATTAATTGCACCCATAATACTATAAATAGAGTCTCACTCCTCACATGAGGGAGGCTTGGGAGAGAACTTGAGGCTTTGAGAAGAAGTTCAAGTCCAAGATCATCTCTGTCATCGTCGATCGTCGTCAACCACTATCAACCGTCAGCAACCTCCGTCGACTACCGCCAACCGTCAACGACCACAGCTGACTGTCGTTGACAACCGTCGACCGCCATCGACCGCCACTCACCATCATCGACCACTGTTGACTTTCGTTAACCTCCGTCATCTATCGTCGATAAACACCAATCATCATCAATCACCATCAACCAGACGTCGTTAGCCGACACAGTAATCTGAAAATATAGTAACTTTTTCTCGTCTGTGGGACAAGAGATTTATGTAATCATCAATTAATAGTGGATTTCACAATTGGGTCAGGCCTCGTGATTTTTTCCCTTCCCACGTAAAAGTTTATGGAGTTATCACTGCTTGTTTTTCTTCATCTGTATTGTGTTGAATTCTCGTACAATGTTAAGAAGATAATCCGTTACTCTATCGCCGTAGATTTTCTAGCACGCATCAATATGTAACAAATGAAGTTTATGTGCTAGATATGTAAATGAATCAAAATTGAGTGGTGTCTATCTAAATCTTTCAATAATAAAAGGGTAAAGAACGCCTCTAATAAAAAATCTCGTGGAATAAGAGATTTATGAATTTATATGTATTTATTTATAAAAATGCACATGCTCCCACGAAAATAATAAGCTTTTTAGAGGAATAAATGCACATCGCTTAACAACTATTAACGGACTATCATCGCCCGACTATCATCATCTATCTACCAACATTTGCGATCATCTTCACTCGATGAGTATAGCTTACCTTTTCTTATTGTTGCATGATTGCCCTTATCCGATCATTTTCCCTTGCTTATTATCAACTGACCATCTTCACTTAGCCTTAATCTTCACCTAAATTATTTCCATTATTGTTTACAGAAGATTGAGCAAGCATTGAGTACATTATTTTATAATCCTGTCTTTTCTAAATAAAGGTGAAAATGACTTATGTAATTTCAACCAGCTTGGCCAATCATATCATCTGGACTATGCCCTACGATTTTCGCATTTCTGTTAGTTTGTGTAAAAATTATGGTATCTAGTGGGGATGGGCAATGACAATCTAATGACTATGGATGGGTCTAATAAAAATGGTCAGGTGACGACGATTCACGATGGTTATTAGATAGTGGTGATTTAGTATTGATGGTTGAATAGTAGTGTCCTGACGTTAAATAAGATGAACTTATGATGATGCTTCTATATTAGTCATTAGATATCAAAGATTTGATGATGATGGGCAAGAGTTTATGGTTTAACAATACTGGTTGGGCAACGTGGACAACCCACAACTATCTGACAATGATATGTGGTTGACATTATTTTAACGATGGTTGTTCGATGGTAGTGGATGGTAGTGGTAGGGCTTTGACGTATCAATTGTGTTTGATTGTTTGTGATCTTTTGACGTCTAAATAGTAGTGGATGGGTGGCAACAATCCTACGATGGCATCCCGATATTAGTGGATGGGTGGTCATAGCTGACATGGTTGGACGGGAGGCAATAGCCTGAGGGTCATTGTTTATTAAACCTTCATGAACTTTTAGTCCTCCGAGCTTCGTGTAATTTGTAGTCCTAGTACAACCTTTAGATATACCCCTATGAAATGAGTGAGGGTCTATTTTAAATTAGAATCTCTCATAAATACTGCAAGAATCTAGAATACACAATCAACTATCTCATAATGATTTTTTTTTTTCACTAGTGATTAGATTAGTTAATATTTGGTGCCGTGTTCTTTCATCAAGATGAGAAATTTTAATTATATATAAAATCAAATATCCAATATTTCTAAATAAGGTTCATTTGCATTCCTTGTAAATTTAATTATATCATTTGCTTAAGAAAATTAACTAAATTAGTAATTTAATTAAAATCAAATTGAGCAAAACCTAAATCAAATCAAGCCAACTCTTGAGTAAATCAACTTACATAAGCATTTTGTATTCATTTATAAACGCATGACCCAAAATTTTGATGATTGGATTGGACATTAAAAAATGAATTAGAGAATTAATAATTCAACTATAAAAATAATTAAAAAAGGGGCAATTACATAGAGATCACCAGAAATATGTTATTTACAAATCAAATTCATGGTAAAACTCCAACCCATATTTTTCCATATCAATTCGCTTTGATAGGTTATTTAGAAAAATCAATATTTTATGCGGTCATCATTTAATTATCCCTAAAAAATAATATTTTCACAAGTTAATTATCTAACACCTAAAAAATTCAAATTTTTCATATATATACCATCTTATCTATTGATGAAAAGGATATATTTCACTTTTTAAGTTCAAGTGGTGGTAATTTTTATATGATCAAACTAAAAATTTGGGTGATATGTATGTAAATGCCCCAACATTTAAGTACATATTGACATTAAATTGAGTCTCACGTGTAGCCCACCGACAAATTCATACTTTTATTAAAAGTCAAAGGAAAAAAAAATCAGATTTGCATGTACCGCAAATCATGCCACAATTTCTGAGAACAAATCACTCCCAACACAAGCCACATTGGTGCCGTGTTCTTTCATCAAGATGAGAAATTTTAATTATATATAAAATCAAATATCCAATATTTCTAAATAAGGTTCATTTGCATTCCTTGTAAATTTAATTATATCATTTGCTTAAGAAAATTAACTAAATTAGTAATTTAATTAAAATCAAATTGAGCAAAACCTAAATCAAATCAAGCCAACTCTTGAGTAAATCAACTTACATAAGCATTTTGTATTCATTTATAAACGCATGACCCAAAATTTTGATGATTGGATTGGACATTAAAAAATGAATTAGAGAATTAATAATTCAACTATAAAAATAATTAAAAAAGGGGCAATTACATAGAGATCACCAGAAATATGTTATTTACAAATCAAATTCATGGTAAAACTCCAACCCATATTTTTCCATATCAATTCGCTTTGATAGGTTATTTAGAAAAATCAATATTTTATGCGGTCATCATTTAATTATCCCTAAAAAATAATATTTTCACAAGTTAATTATCTAACACCTAAAAAATTCAAATTTTTCATATATATACCATCTTATCTATTGATGAAAAGGATATATTTCACTTTTTAAGTTCAAGTGGTGGTAATTTTTATATGATCAAACTAAAAATTTGGGTGGCATAAGTGTCGAAAAATCAATTTTTTAGCATTAGATGTGCAAATACATAAGAATTGGGTGATATGTATGTAAATGCCCCAACATTTAAGTACATATTGACATTAAATTGAGTCTCACGTGTAGCCCACCGACAAATTCATACTTTTATTAAAAGTCAAAGGAAAAAAAAATCAGATTTGCATGTACCGCAAATCATGCCACAATTTCTGAGAACAAATCACTCCCAACACAAGCCACAAATCACAACTACATAAGCCAAACAATTAACAAGTCATAATACACAGGGCCCTGCTTCTCTTAAGAAACCTGACCTCCTCTCCAACCTCTCTTAAAAAACAAAGAACCAAAATCCCTTACTAAACTACAGTCTTCAGTTAACATTGAATAGTACAAGAGGTTAAAACCAAAGAACCAAAATCCCTTACTAAACTACGGTCTTCAGTTAACATTGAATAGTACAAGAGGTTAAATTTTTAATTTTTTCTTTCGCTATTAACAATCGGAATTTCTTCCAGGGCCGCCATAGTAAAAAAAAGTCCCCCAATCACCATTATTCTCGTTCTGCACATCATAACAATTAGATTGCTCCGTGAAAGTTCCAACATTTTTGGGAGATCTGAGGTTATTAGATTCATCAACTATCTGGATGTTTCTGAAATAGCTGGCTTTGCCGAATCCTTCTTCGGGAAAATGGCCGCTCCCCATTTCAGTAGCTGTGTGTTCTCCATCTGGCTGAGAGTTTACAACCTCTCCTCCCCATTCGATCATGGAGGCACTGTCTGCTAGGTAGGAGAATAGGAAAGAAGGCCAGTAACCGAGCACCAGATCACTTCCAAATTGCATCCACCAGTTTCCTTCCTTTGGATCCTGATTACATGTAAGAAAACTCAATAAAACTCAAAAAGTTGGGACCTTTTCTGAAAAATATAACAGTATTTATATTTTTGTAAGAGTTTGAATTTATTTTAGCAAATTAAAGATTTTTTTTTTTCTTTTACTTCTCTTTACCTTCCAGACAAGTATGCTGATGTCATACTGTGAGCCCCCATAATCGGAGATAGGGGAGATGCTGGCCCCCATTGCAATATCACTGTTGATTTGAATGAACCCAGAGCACAGTAGATTATAGCAGCCAGTTGCTTGATAAGCATCACTCTGTAATTTTCAGCATTAATGAGGGGCAAAAAAAAATTAATGCATTTCCTAATTGAAGAAAAAAGAGATTGCAATGAGCATCAAATAGATGGAAATTTAACTCACAGTCCAGTAAGTGAAGAGTCGGGTGTTATTATCCCCATAAAGATCAGGACTGACCTATTTTTTGCAAAAAAATGGGGAAGAAAATCAACAAATTTATTCTCCATGTCTGCTAAATTGTCATTTTTTAAGCATTTTATGAGTAGAACTTACCTGCCAACCAGCTTCAATGCTATTGAGGTCTTCACCAAAGGAGCCCCCTAAGATCCATAGCTGGGAGAGACTGAATTCATTGAACTGTTGAATCTTTGGTTCCCAGACATTTATAATTGCCTTGGCACCATAATACTTTTCTCCTTCAACATATGCGATTGCATGCTACACTCATAAAGACAGAATAAAGGGAAAATTCTTTAGAAAAGAACGGTGGAAAATAAAATAAACTGCTGAAAGGTGATTCCTTCATTTCAAAGATTCTCTCTTTTCTTCACCACACCTGATGGCCACTCTCATTGATGAGATCTGGATCAGCAAATCTTGGCTTTGGTATAGTTTTATGCTTCTTTCTTCCAAACCTCTTAACTGACGTAGCTCTAAGAACGTCTTCCCCCTTCGTCCTTCTTATTGGTATTGTGCCCTTCGGGCACCTCCCATTTTGATGCCAAAGCTGAAGTATGGTTTTCTGTTCCTTCGCTCCTGAGTCTGAAACTAGCTTGCTCTCATCATAAAGACCTTCTGGATGGAAAGCAGGCCTCATCTAAAAGATGCAGAAAAGAAGAGAGTTTGTGAAAACGTATGAAAACCATAAAATTTGAGCTCCAAGAGGAAAGTTAGCGGAAGAAATAAAGAGAGGGGAGAGAGAGAGACCTGGATTGTATGGTTTTTAAGGAAAGGGTGATCGAATGCAGGCTGGTGAGCAATGTGAACACAGTCTATTACATCTCCATCAGGACTCTGCTTTGTATACATAAACAAAATGGAAGAGTTTGTTCAATTATCACTTCAAAATGATAATATATAACAAAATATTCAAGAAAAAGAGAAACTTTCACATTGGTCTAATTCTTTGAAGCACAAAAAGAAAAAAAAACAAAAGGTAGAAATCAAGTTCAGGGCTTATTTGGTTGCTTGAAGCTTGAAAGCGTGTTCTGGAAAAAAGAGTACTGAATTTGTTATTCTATCGCTTGGTTCGATGTGGCTAAATCAATGCTGAGTTCAAACTCTACAAATGCCTTCGAGATTCCTCAAAAATGTTTTGAATCACACGCCCAAACAAGTGAAATCAAAGTCATTTTCCTGTGGAGCAAATTTTAAACCTAAAATCCCCAAATGAGCCCTAAACATTCATTGTCTTAGCACAACAAAAAATTATTAACGCAAGAAAGGGGATTTGAGACTAAAAAGAAGGAAAAAAGGTGCACCGAAGCGTAAAACCGAAGAAGGGAAACCCTAACATCTCCGCGTATTTTTTTACCAAAAAAGTAGAACAATTAATCAATAATCCAAATTTAAATGCAAAAGAGCAGAAAAACCTTCAAAACCCCTTCAAAATCAAAGAAACAACCTTAGCTTTTCTTTAATAAAAAGAATAACAGTGTCGCACTTAGCTCAAATCATCAATCTGAAATGACAACCTTTCATGAGAAAAAAAAAAATGGAAGAGCAAGAAAGACCTGAATGCTTTTCAAGGCCGGCTTATTAACCCTTCGCAGACGCTTGCCGACGGCGATCTGCTTTCTCGAAACTTCGCCGGCGAACGTCGCCACACCGGCGCACAACACACTGCAGCAGATAAGCGCAACCATAACTGCAGCACACCTGAAACCACCATGAACCACCATCGCCGGCGCTAACATGCGCCGCCGCCCTCCTTTCTTCCCCAAAAATCTAACCTTTTTTTCCAAAAAAAAGAACTTGAAAACACCCAAACAAATACTTCCTTCCCCTGCTCGAAGATTCAGAAGCTCACCACTTCAAAACGAACTCCTTCATCTGCTCCTCTCTCCGCAGCTGCACCGCAGTAATGGAGCAAAAGAAGACATCTTCCCCTTTCTCTCACTAGCGCTGCTTCTCTATCCCAATTCAAGGTGGCAGAGCTTTAGAGGATGGGTCTAAACTAAAAGTATCCGTTAGAGGGGTAAAAGTGGAAATGTAGCCGTCGGTGAGCTTCGCACCACCATTACCGGGACTTGTCGCTTGTCCGGATTCGATTCTCGAAATGACTTTATTATCCTCGTCGTGTTTCTCTCGGACTTCTGTGTCCAACGTCACACGTGCCAGAGACGGATGTGAGCTTTGGATTCTAATTCTGGACACGGGTGCAGCTTTTGACGTGCCCCTTACTCACGTGCGACAAAATTTAGCCAGTTGACCCAGCCGGCTCAGTGTTCAGGCAGACCGGTCCGGTTTGGCGGTGCCGATAAAAACCGGTTCATATGGATAACCAGCCGGTTTATTTGACATTATTTTGAAGAAAGTTTGGCCAAGGCAAAAGTGTTCGTTTCTTTAATATATGTGCTAAAATATTTTTCAATTTTAAATATTATTGTTATTATTGTAGATATACATTCAACATTTAATGTTAGTAGAATGTACTTCCAAAAGTATAGTTGTAGTTCCATAATAATGAAGTTATGCCTTCATATTCAAAATTGAAATGTTAATTGAATGTACTTTCATGTTATTTTTGTTGGATTAATTTTGGGACTACAATGTAATTAATAAATGTGTTGGGTCATTATTAAATAAGTCAAAATTATTGTGGTCTAATTTAGAATTAAGTTTATGACTTTGGGCACATTTGTCATGATATTATAGTGTGGATACCATAAGTGCAAATTCTAATTTGATGAGGGGCAGAATTAGAATTAAGCAAAACTTTTTTGTAACCGTCTGGTAGTTACTTCAAAGGGTAATGGTCCCCGATTTGCAGAGACACACGTCCTTTTTCTTGCACCCTATCAACAAGAAACTAAAGAAACTCTAGAAAATCTGCAGATTGGAAGATCATACCTTGTGCAACGATCTGATAGACTCCGATACGCTTCCGCTAATCTATGGTTTATTTCTCTTGAAATTGAATGTGATTTTTTTTAGTCCGAACAATTGGTATCAGAGTAAATTCACGTTCAGTTTTTTCTTGAGAAATTTTTTTTCTTTTCGATTTTTTGGTCCTTAGCCATTGTTATTCACCGATTATGAAGTCATCAATTTGCGATTAATGATGACTTGTATATATTGTTTGGTTTGTTGGTTTTTTATATGTTTGGTATATCAAATTAGTTGGAATTTTTTTGTATAAATAAGAGTTAGAAATCATCTAGAAATTAGATTTCCAACAACTTTGGGGTTTGAAGGCTTCATTTTGGTGTAAAAATGGCTTTGAAACCGTTGGGTTCTGATTTGGGTTCGAACTGGGTCGTTTGACCCGCCTTGAGGTTGAAGACAACCAGAAACGACATGTCGTTTCTACAGCATAAGTAAACGACATGTAGTTTTCAGTATTTTAAAAATAAAATAAAATAAAATTTTTAATTAAATGTTCAATTAAATTCAAATTATTGGTACTTTATAAATTTGTCCATCATTTTTTAATGAGCTTATTGAAACATGATGTTGCCAAAGTGACCTCTCTTGTGTAGATAATTCGTGAAGAATGTTGGATGTTGTGTGTGTGTGAGTTCATGCGTGTATTGATCGGCCCAAAGGAAAATTAATACTTGGCCGAACTGCATACACACTTGTGATGATAAACATGTAAAAATTATAAGGAATTATATGTGAGTAATAAATCGATCCAAAGATAGATTTATTATTTGACATGCATTATTGTTAATGTTTGATCATTACAACAA